TGGCTGTCATGAATAAGGATGTCAGGAACATAACTGTTAAATGTCCTTTGGTGCATGTGCTTTTGTTTCTTTTGAGTATATACTGCGGAGTGGTATAGCTGGGTGTTAGGATGTGCATGTATCCAGTAGCTTCTCCCAGACACTTTTCCAAAGTGCTCACGCCAGTTTAAACTCCCATCCACAGTGGGCGGCCCAGAAGTTCCATTTCCTCATCAATGATGGGCATTCTTAGTTTTTTCATTTTAGTCATTCTCCTTCATAGGGTCTGGTGGCGTCTCATTGTGATTTAAATTTGCATTCCTCTGATAACTATGTTATTAAAAATAGTATTCTTTTGTTGTTTGTTTACTATTCTCTAATTGCTTGTTGCTAACATATGAAGCAAATTAAATTTTTACATTAACCCAATATTCACGAGTTTTGATAAATTTACTTAATAATTCTGATACCCTATAGGGTTGTGTATTTTTTCAGCATCTATAACCATGTCATCTCAATATAATACCTTTTCTAAAGTCTTTGTTAATTGAACAGTTTAGGACTGCTATTTAGATGTTAACTAGAAGTGGTAATAAGGATATCCTCTTCTTATTCCCAATCTTAGTGGGAAAGCATTCAATATTTTTACCTTATATTCCTAGTTTTTAACATAAATGGATGATGAATATTTTCAAGTGTTTTATGTTTTCTATTGAATATATTGAGAAGAGTATGTGATTTTTCTCCTTTATTTTGTTAATGTGGTGAATTACATTGATCTTTTGCATGTTAAATCAAGATTGCATTCTTGAAATAAACCTAATTTGTTGATGGTGTATTAACTCTTTTGTATGTTGCTAGACTTGGTTTCTTAATATTTTGTTTAAGATGTTTTGTTGTTATGTTGAGAAACTGGCCTGTAACTTGCCTTCCATGTAATACTTGTCCGTTTTGGGTCCTTCTTCAAGCTTATGCACTAGTATTCTGGACGGGCCCTTTGCCCCACACGGTGCTTAAAAAATTGAAAGTACTTACAGCAGGGAAACAACCAATCTGGTGTTTCCAAAAAAAAAGAACCAAAAACAAAAGAAGAAGAATCAGAAACCTTCTCCCTCTTTAAATGGCCCTTATTCTGCCCAGGTAAATCATCCTGGTAATAGTGTATACTGGAAGCAGGCTGGTCATAGATGGCCACATCTCCCAGGTATGGCTTCTGTGTTCAGTAGATTCAGGGCTTCCTGATGCCTCTCACCATGGTCCGCCACAGGAGTATCCCCAATTGGCTAACAGCATTCAGCTGGCAAAGTTTGCTCAAAAATCCATTGATTATACCTTCCAGAGGCTAAGAATTTAAAAGCCTGTTGTGTTTGGGCCATGTTATTAAGTGTCATCATTCTAGTAAATAAGTGTGTTACATGCTTGGAAAAAAATCTTGAGGTGGTTTATCCTATTAGGATTCCTGCATCTTTGAGGATGAGGTATTTTAGAGAATTACTCTTGGAGAACCTTGAGATCCTTGCTTGCTAGGGACTCTGCTTCAAGCCCATGCTTATGGTAGAGGCTGCTTCTTCCACTAACACTATAGCCATGTTTGTTGCCAGCTATTGTGAAGGCAAATCAAAGAGGGGAAATATGGGAGAAACACATTACTTAAAATTTTAGAAGGAAATTAAAAACAAGGTAAGAGAGCAAAGAAACAGTACTTTTATAGAAGTTAAATATAAGGGGGAACATCCCATTAAAAAAAAAACCCAGAAGCCAAATAAATAAATGGCAATAAAATATTAAGATGAGAAATTTGGGACTTCCCTGGTGGCGCAGTGGTTAAGAATCCGCTTGCCGATGCAAGGGACACGGGTTCAAGCCCTGGTCCAGGCAGATCCCACATGCTGCGGAGCAACTAAGCCCGCGAGCCACAACTACTGAGCCCACGCGCCTAGAGCCCGTGCTCTGCAACAAAGAGGAGCCACCGCAATGAGAAGCCCGTGTACCGCAACGAAGGGTAGCCTCTGCTCGCTGCAACTAGAGAAAGCCCATGCGCAGCAACGAAGACCCAACGCAGCCAAAAATAAGTAAAATAAATTTATTTATTTAGGGAAAAAAAAGATGAGAAATTTGACTTGTGAAAGTTTAGAGATATTAAGACCATGAGTTAAAAGCTGGGGGAAAAAAATTAAAAAGATAAAGGAGAAAACATTCAGGAGACGTTGTGAAATAAGGACGTCTGGAAATTCTCTCCGTAAAAGCAATGACAAAATTGACAAAACTTGGCAGAATCAACTTTTTCAAAACTGAAAATTAACCAAAGACAGCAACAATCCAAGGAGCATTTCTTCAAGAAAAATATCTGAATTTTAGTTAAAACAGAGAGCTTTGTGGTGATTTGACTTCCCCTGTTCCCACCCCCCTCTCTCTAGCCTGGCAGTGGCCTTGGGAGCCAGTAGTGTGCTGTCGTGATGAGGACCAGCAGCCTGGCAGCCCGCAGAAAGGGCAGAACGGAGTTGGAGCGCCTTCACAGCCTCATTCCCAGAGAATTATTATTTGATCTGTCTGGTGGTTTCCTGGAGGACTCCCACTTGCAAGACTGTCTACCTGACTTGGAGCTCACCCAGTGCGAAAAGCCTCTTTTTCCCCCCGAGGTGTTTGTTTAAAACAATTAGAGACAATTGATTAACTTCATAGCCATGTGAGGTAGATAACAGTTGGGGCAAACAATATGTTAAGCAAAAAGCTTAAAGGAAAGGCTGGAAAATAAGATTTCCATCGGGGCTTTGACCAGCTCTTATGTATTCCTGTGGCTCTGGAAGGTCACACGCATGCTTAGGGCTCTGTGTGTGCGCAGGAGAGACCTGAGAGGATCCTAATCTCTCACCTTGAGCTGACTATGAGGCTCCATGCAAGCTGAAAGGAGAGGCTAAGGCGGAGTTGTCCCCCAAGTGCTGAATGCATGCCCCAACACACAGAGTCCCTTGGCAAAGACTGATTGTGACAAGGGCTTCTGTGTTATATTGGTTCCAGGCAATTAGGGAAAGTTCTGTCTAATCATTAGCTGACCACTAAGCTCACGTAGCAGACACGTCAGTGGTCTCACACAGCAAAGAATGTATATTTACAGGAGCTCAGAAAGTCACTTAACAAACAGCAGCAGACACCAACATGAACAGACGCTGAGGAAGGAGGAAAATCTAATTCCCATAGTTGCCACAGTATATTGGTAAAAGTGTCCAGTTTTCAACAAAATATTAGACATAAAGAAACAAGAAACTGTGGCCTATACACACCGGGGCGGGGGAGAAGCAACCAATGAAATCAGCTGTTTTGACCCTGATCAAAGGACTAAAGGGATGTATGAGAACAGTGTCTCACCAAATAGAGGATACCAATAAAGAAATAGAAATTATTTATTTTGTGGTACGCGGGCCTCTCACTGCTGCGGCCTCTCCCGCTGTGGAGCACAGGCTCCGGACGCGCAGGCTCAGCAGCCATGGCTCACGGGCCCAGCCGCTCCGCGGCATGTGGGATCCTCCCGGACCGGGGCACGAACCCGTGTCCCCCTCATCGGCAGGCGGACTCTCAACCACTGCGCCACCAGGGAAGCCCAGAAATTATTTTTTAAAAATAGAAATTCTGGAGTTGAAAAACAAAATAGCTGAAATGAAAATTTCACTAAGAGGCTCAACAACAGATTTGAGCAGGTGTAAGGAAGACTCAATATTGAGATTACAGTTATCCCTCAGAATCCATGAGGGTTGGTTCCAGGACCCTGCCCCCCACTGCTGCAGTTACCAAAATCCATAGATACTCAAGTCCCATATATAAAATGGTGTAATATTTGCATTTAACCTATGCACATCTTCCCATATACTTTATTTATTTTAATTTTTATTTATTTATTTATTTTTGGCTGCGTTGGGTCTTTGTTGCTGCGCACAGGCTTTCTCTGGTTGCGGTGAGCGGGGGCTACTCTTCGTTGCGGTGCTTCTCATTGCAGTGGCTTCTCTTGTGGGGCACGGGCTCTAGGCGTGCAGGCTTCAGTAGTTGTGGCACACAGGCTCAGTACTTGAGGCTCGTGGGCTTTAGAGTGCAGGGTCAGTGGTTGTGGCACATGGTCTTAGTTGCTCCATGGCATGTAGGATCTTCCCAGACCAGGGCTCAAACCTGTGTCCCCTGCATTGGCAGGCAGATTCTTAACCACTGCGCCACCAGGGGAGCCCCTCCCATATACTTTAAATCATCTCTTATTATTCTCTACATCATTTTCTAGTTTATAAGTGCCTTCCCATGCATTTTCATTTAATCCTCCAAATAGCCTTCTACTCCACTGACAAACCTGGGAAATCAGGCAGAGCCTGACCCCTGCCACTCCCCATCCCCTGCTTTACCCCTGTGCCCCACGTGGGCCCTCTTCAGTGTCCTGCCCTCTGTCAGTGTCTCAAGGAGCGCTGCCGAGGCTCCAGTGTCGGGGGCCCGCAGCACCAGGCTGTGCTGCAAAATCCAGAAAACGTCAACTTCCGTCTTCCCACCTGCTTGTGCGGCAGCCGCCCCTTTCCCCAGTGCTCTGCCCGAAGTGAAAGGATGCGTGTGGCTCATCTCTCTTGGGAGGGGATTTTGTTTCCTTGGTTCCCTTACAACCTCAGCTGTCTGACAGGATCATGGTAAGTTATGATTTTGTTCGTCTCTCTGGCTTCGTCTTGTTGTTAGCATGGAAGCACATTTTCTGCAGCTTTCTGCCTCTGAAGCAGAAGCGTAAAGCTGCTCGATTCTGATTCAGAAGAAAGGAGTTCAATTCCTAACTCTGTCACTTATGATCTGTGATCTTTGCTAAGTCACCTGTTTTCTCAGTTGTGCAGTGGAAATAATAAAAGTCATAATAATTATCATAGCAGACTTGTCAGTGGAGTAGAAGGCTATTTGGAGGATCACATAAAAACACACGGGAAGGGGCTTGTAAACTAGAAACTGCTGTGGAATAATAGTGATCATCATTTTCTAAGCTGCCATTTTGTTTCTTCCATTTTCAGATATGATCTTCAAGACACAGAAATAAGTCCCAGACAGAATCGTCGAATGAGGTCAGCTGAAAGTGCTGAGCTCGAGCCAAGAAATAAGCGGAACAGGAATTAGTGTGGGTTTGTTGACTTTCCCAGTGCAGTCATCAGAAGATGGTACTTTTGTTGCCATGGTGATTTCATATTCATAATTGCCCAAGTGAAGATGTTACATTCTAAATGTTATGTTTAACTGATCTTTATTCTTTTCTGCCTTTCTAGGAAAAAAAAAAAAAAACCTTAGAAAGCATCCTCACTTGGTCAGTTACCTCCTGCCCCTAAAACATCTCTCTCTAAAAATACTGGCATCCACACATTCACCAGCTTTGCAGAGGACAGAGACTTTTTGGCAAAAGGGTTTTGTTTGATTTTGTTTCTAAATTTCAGAATGTCCTTAAGCCATTCTCCTCTTCCATGGAGAAGCCAACTTCAGAAAAGGATCCTTTAACCCCTCTACCACAAGGAGTGGTTGAGGCATTCAGAGCCACTGTGTTTCTGGAAAGGTAGAATGTCCTAACTCAAGTCCTCCGTGAGCGTGAGCACGTGAGGCCTGGAGGCCAATGCGCGTGTTACAGCTGTTTCAGGATGCTTGTTGCCCGAGTTTCATGTGGTTGTTAGTTAGACCTGTGTCTTACACTTTACTTGGAGTGGGATGTTAGTACTGTAACCTAAAGGCACAAAACAGTAACTTTGAAACATTAGGCATATTCTTCAGAAATGGCGCTTACAAATGATTCCTTCATCTTTTTTTCACTTGGGTAAATCAAATCTTTAACCCTTTGAATCCCAGCTATTAAATGGAAAGAATGCAATAAATGAATTTTGTCACTGAATAGACTCTATATCAATTTAAAATAAAGTCCTTGAAACAGTCTCCTGTGAATGGTTGAGTACAAGCTACAAATCATTGGAAAGGGTTGATCAGAAATTGTCCTCTCAAACAGAAATATAGATCAATGGAACAGGATAGAAAGCCCAGAGATAAACCCACGCACATATGGTCACCTTATCTTTGATAAAGGAGGCAGGAATGTACAGTGGAGAAAGGACAGCCTCTTCAATAAGTGGTGCTGGGAAAACTGGACAGGTACATGTAAAAGAATGAAATTAGAACACCCCCTAATACCATACACAAAAATAAGCTCCAAATGGATTAAAGACCTAAATGTAAGGCCAGAAACTATCAAACTCTTAGAGGAAAACATAGGCAGAACACTCTATGACATCAATCACAGCAAGATCCTTTTTGACTCACCTTCTAGAGAAATGGAAATAAAAACAAAAATAAACAAATGGGACCTAATGAAACTTCAAAGCTTTTACACAGCAAAGGAAACCATAAACAAGACCAAAAGACAGCCCTCAGAATGGGAGAAAATATTTGCAAATGAAACAACTGACAAAGGATTGATCTCCAAAATATACAAGCAGTTCATGCAGCTCAATAACAAAAAAACAACCCAATCCAAAAATGGGCAGAAGACCTAAATAGACATTTCTCCAAAGAAGATATACAGACTGCCAACAAACACATGAAAGAATGCTCAACATCATTAATCATTAGAGAAATGCAAATCAAAACTACAATGAGATATCATCTCACACCAGTCAGAATGGCCATCATCAAAATATCTAGAAACAATAAATGCTGGAGAGGGTGTGGAGAAAAGGGGACACTTGCACTGCTGGTGGGAATGTGAATTGGTACAGCCACTATGGAGAACAGTATGGAGGTTCCTTAAAAAACTACAAATAAGACTACCATATGACCCAGCAATCCCCACTACTGGGCATATACCCTGAGAAAACCATAATTCAAAGAGTCATGTACCAAAATGTTCATTGCAGCTCTATTTACAATAGCCAGGAGATGGAAACAACCTAAGTGTCCATCATCGGATGAATGGATAAAGAAGATGTGGCACATATATACAATGGAATATTACTCAGCCATAAAAAGAAATGAAATTGAGCTATTTGTAATGAGGTGGATGGACCCAGAGTCTGTCATACAGCGTGAAGTAAGTCAGAAAGAGAAAGACAAATACCATATGCTAACACATATATATGGAATTTAAGAAAAAAAAATTTCATGAAGAACCTAGGGGTAAGAAAGGAATAAAGACACAGACCTACTAGAGAATGGACTTAAGGATATGAGGAGGGGGAAGGGTAAGCTGTGACAAAGTGAGAGAGTGGCATGGACATATATACACTACCAAATGTAAAATAGATAGCTAGTGGGAAGCAGCCGCATAGCACAGGGAGATCAGCTCGGTGCTTTGTGACCACCTAGAGGGGTGGGATACGGAGGGTGGGAGGGAGGGAGACGCAAGAGGGAAGAGATATGGGGATATTTGTATATGTATAACTGATTCACTTTGTTATAAAGCAGAAACTAGTACACCATTGTAAAGCAATTATACTCCAAAAAAGATGTAAAAAATAAAAATAAAGCAGAAACTAACACACCATTGTAAAGCAATTATACTCCAGTAAAGATGTAAAAAAAAAAAAAATTGTTCTCTCTGTGCAAAATGTCCCCCAGTTCCCAGTTCCTTCCAGTGTTCCTAATGCCTGTGTTTGGCATTTCAGAGCCAGTCCCCTGCCACCGGTGCCAGCAACTCTGGGGCTGCCTGTGTCCTGGTGACAGCAGGGCTACTTCACCAGAGTCCAGGAAGACCCTGGTGTTGGTTTGGGGGTGGAGGGCCTGATCCTGCCCTGGGCCAGGTGTCCCAGCACCTCAGGGTAGCCATCCCTGCTCCCTCTGAGCTCCTGGAAGGAGGAGGTGGCTGGAACCCTGCTGTGTAAAACAGCACCTAGAATTCGGAAGGAGTACCCGGGCAGGTGCTCTCCCATTGGCTCCCAGATGGCCTGGCATTTCTCGATTTCTTCTTTGCTTACCAAAGAGGCAAGACTTTTGCCTGGGAAGGATTCTGGGCAGCCATGCAGGTAAGTGGGGCAGCCTGCTCCAGCTTCAAGAAGTTGTTAGAATGCCACCCCTCTCGTGTGCCACCTTTGCAACTCTTGCAGGCGCCATGGGCTCCCCTCTCTGGTCCCAGCATGTTGGAGGCAACACCCCACCCCCGCCTCCATCCCGTGATGCCCCACTCCCACCCTCTCCCAGTCAGCCATGGGTCAGGCTGGGGCAGACATGCTCCACTGTATTTGGTGGGGTGGAAGCAGGCGTCCTTCCCTGTAATCTTGGCTTGGCAGCCAGCACGGCTCACCCTCCAGACCACTGACCTGTGGGAAAGAAGAGGTGTGCAATTGCCTTGCCCAGCCTCTGAGAATCCTGCTTTGTGGCTGAACTGAAGTGGCTCCTGCTCTGTGAGGGCCTGCCAGCAAGTTCCTTGGAGGCACTGTGCTGGGGATGATCTGAAGCTGCCACCTACCTTCCTGAGGGCTCAGGTGGTGAGTTACTAACTAATATCTAGGCTTCTGAGACTTGTAATGGAGGGAACAGGAGGGATGGAGAGGTTGAAAGGGGAGGAAACATCGACTGGGCCTCATCCATGGCTTCATGTAGATTCATGTAGGACTCAGAACAAATTCCTGGGAATCCTACCCCTTGGAGTCGACACCAACTTTGCTTGCTTGTTTCTTTAAGAGCTTCATTGAGATATAGTTCACTCAACATACAATTCACCCATTTAAAACTTACAATTATATTTAGAGACCATCACCATAATCAATTTTAGAACACTTTTGTTGCCTATGGTCCCCTTATTCGTCACCCCCAACTCTCCCATCCTTCCCAGCCCTTGACAACAACTAAGCTACTTTCTGTTTCTATATTTCCTTATTCTGTATGTTTCATATCAATGAAATCATACAGTACATGGTCTTTGGGGTCTGACTTCTTTCACTCAGCCTAAAGTATTCAAGGTCATACATGTAGCATTTATCAGTCCTTCATTTCTTTTTATTGCTGAATAGTATTTCATTGTATGGGGTATACCACATTTTGTTTATCCATTCATCAGCTGATGGATATTTGGGTTGTTTCAGTTTATTTTCACTATTGTTAATGGTGTGCCTGTAAGCAGTTGTGTACAAGTTTTTGTGTGAACATGTTTTTATTTGTCTTGGGTATATACCTACGAATGGCATTTCTGAATCATATGGTAACTCTGTGCTTAATATTTTATATTTAACTGCCAAACTCTTTTCCAAAGTGGCTGCACAATTTGCCCACTAGCACTCTATTAGTCTTCCAATTTCTCCATGTCCTTGCCAACACTTGTGATTATCTGTCTTTCTTATTATGGCCATGCTAGTGGGTGTGAAGTGGTATCTCATTGTGGTTTTGATTTGCATTTGCTCAATAGATAATGACGTTGAGCATCTTTTCATGTGCTTTTTGGCCATTTCTATGTCTTCTCTGGAAAAATGTCTATTCAGATTTTTTGCCCATTTTAAAATTGGGTTTTTAAAAAATTATTGCATTGTAAGAGTTAATTGTATAGTTTTTAAAATTTCAGCTTCTGATTGTATGTTGATAGGTTAGAGAGATAGAAATGATTTTTGCATATTAATCGTGTATCGAGCAATCTTGCTAAACTCATAAGTTTGGTAGCTTTTTTGTAGATTCCATTCGATTTTCTCTAATAGAGAATCATGTAAACATGTAATCATGTAAAGACTTTTGTATTTCTTCCTTTCCAATATGGATGTCTTTTATTCTGGATATAAATTCTCTACCAGATAAATGCTTTGAATCACGTTGGGAATATTTGCTTCTACTCCTAGTTTGCTGAGAATTTTTTAAAAATCAGAAATGGTTATTGAATATTGTCAAATGCTTTTTCTGTATTTATTGAGATGATCATACGGTTTTTCTTTTTTAGTTTATTAATGTGAATTACACAGTTTGGTTTTTTTATTTTTTTAAATTTATTTATTTATTTATTACTTACTTTGACTGAGTTGGGTCTTCATTGCTGCGTGCGGGCTTTTTCTAGTTGCGGCAAGCTGGGGCTACTCTTCACTGCAGTGCGCGGCCTTCTCATTGTGGTGGCTTCTCGTTGCAGAGCACGGGCTCTAGGTGCATGGGCTTCAGTAGTTGTGGCATGGGGGCTCAGTAGTTGTGGCTCGCAGGCTCTAGAGCGCAGTCTCAGTAGTTGTGGCACATGGGCTTAGTTGCTCTGCGGCATGTGGTATCTTCCTGGCCAGGGATCGAACCCGTGTCCCCTGCATTGGCAGACGGATTCTTAACCACTGTGCCACGGGGAAGTCCCACAGATTGATTTTTAAATGTTAAAACAAAAGTGGGAGAGACCCCACTTGGTTATGATGTGTTACCTTTTTACATATTGTTGGATTTAATTTACCAAAATTTTGTTTAGAATTTTTTGCATCTATATTTAGGAGGGATATTGGTCTGTAGTTTTCATTACTTTTTATGTCTTTATCTGGTTTTGGTATTAGGATAATGCTGGCCTCATGGAATGAGCTGGGAAGTATTTTCTCCTTCAGTTTTCTGGAAAAGTTTGTGTCGAACTGGTATTATTTATTCCTAAGGTGTTTAGCAGAATTCACCAGTGAAGCGATACGAGCCTGGAATTTTCTTTGTGGGTAGGTTTTTAACAATATATTTCATTTCTTAATGTATGTAGGCCTATTCAGGTTATCTGTTTCTTATTCAGTAAACTTTAGTAGTTTGTGTCTTTCAAGGAATCCATCCATTTCATTTAAATTGACAGATTTACAGACAGAAGTTGCTTATAATTTTCCCTTTTGTGTACAAATTTTTGTGAGAACCTCTTTGACCTTTCTCATTTCTGTTATTGGTAGTTGGTGTTTTCTTTCTTTCTTTTTTTTTTTTTCCCCCATCAGACTGTTTAGAAGTTTATTAATTTTATTGGTCTCAGGCAAACAGCTCTTGGTTTCATTGAATTTCTCTAATGTTTCACTCTTTTCTATTTGATTGATTGCCACTCTATCTTTTATTTCCTTTCTGTTGCCTACTTTGGATTTAATTGTTCTTTTTATATTGTCTTAAGGTAGAGGCTTAGGTCATT